ATTGTACTGATGAGTATTGATCATGTAGATTGTACTGATCAGTATTGATGATATAGATTGTACTGATCAGTATTGATCATGTAGATTGTACTGATCAGTATTGATGATGATGACCTGTTGCGTTCTCTCAGGTGTGCGGCTGAAGACCGTCTCTCTCCCAGTGATGAAGATCACTTCCTGTTGTTTTGGAGGTCCAGATTACTCTGACCTCTATGTGACCTCAGCTAGTCTTGGCCTCGACCAATCAGAGAGCAGACAGCAGCCACTGGCCGGACACACCTTCAGGGTGAGACTCGCCTGTATCACTGACACGCTCACCTGTCTCATTGTCTCACTTGTGTGTGATGCTGTGTGTTTATCTACAGGTGAGAGGACTTGGGGTCAAAGGTCGACCTTCAAACGCATTCTCAGGATGATACTCAAGCAAATCATATCACAGATAATCGACAGGAAGTGTCTCATCAATCAATGTGCTGATCAATAATCTATAACCTCACAAATTAATTGATATGAGTTAACATTGTGGAATTCAGTGTGAGGAAAACTTTTTAACAAATACTTTTATATAAAGTTTGTACAAAGAAATGGTGTAGACTGACAGCCAATGAGAAAAAAGCAGACTGACTTCAACGTTCAACAGCTAATCAGAGTCAACTTCACATTTCCTGTAAAAATGAAAATAAAAGTGACATATTGATGTTGAACATATTGAGGACTGTGGGTAATGTAGTTTTTAAGATCACCATCAATCAGTCACATTTTATTTTTCTCATTTTCACAAATCGATGTTAACAAGGAGCAACGTCCTCTGTCCTCTAACTCAACAAGATGTAACTACCAAAGAAACTTTATGAACGGTAAACAAAGCTCACAGAGTCACATGTGAGGATCTGTCTCCAGGACACAAGGACAATAGATGCTGATTGAACTGAACACATCAACACAACAGATTTACTTCATTAGAAGAAACAGTTTGTAACTAAAGGTTTAAGTATTTGTACGTAAGAACATGTCTGATAGAGATGAAGGGAGGAGTTATTGTCAGTGATGGTAGGACTCTGGTGAAGAAGTCACGTCAATAACGTGTTGATGAGACATTAATGTGATAAAGAGGGAGAAGAGGACAGAGAAGCTCCATGTGTCCTCAACATTCTAGAGCTACAGCAGCAGAACTATGAGCAGATCCAACACAAACCTGAACTAGCTCTCACTATAACTTTATGAAGAACTGAACCTGAGATGATTCCACAGGAGAGGAGCTTGATGCTGAAACCTCTGGCTCCTCCTCTACTTTTAGAGACTTTAGGGACAACAGACTGAATTCTGGGAGCTCAAGGCTCTAGTAGTGATATGGTACTATGAGCTCTTTAAGGTTTGATGCTGCTGTATTATTAATGTAGGTGAGGAGGAGAACTTTAAATTCTAAATGTAACAGGAAGCCAGTGTAGAGAAGCTAATACAGGAGACATTTGGTCTCTGTTGCTGGTTCTCTTCAGGACACGTGCTGCAGCATTTTGGACAAACAGCAGAGTAACGACTCACTGCTGTTGCCTGATAATAAGGAATTGCCATAATCAAGTCTGGATGTGACAAAGACTAGTTTTTCTGCATCTTGATGAGACATGTATGATATTTGAGATGTTACATAAGTGAAAGAAGGCGGTCCTAGAGATTTGTTTTAAAATAGGATCAAAGAACAAATTGGGATCAAAAATGATTCCCAAATTCCTGACTGTTTCATTGGAAGCAAGGACGATGTCATCTAGCGCAGCTTCATCATTAGATAATGTATCTCTGAGGTGTTTAGGGCCGAGTATTAGAACCTCTGTTTTATCTGAGTTTAATAAGAGAACATTATAGCTCATCCAGGTTTTATGTCCTTGAAACATGAAGTTAACTTAATTGATAATACTGTTCTGGTTTTATTGATAAGTATAACTGGGTGTCATCCACATAGCAGTGGAAATTTACAGTTTGCCCTGATAACATTTCCTAGTGGAAGCATACATAATGAGAATATACAAGAGGGCCGAGCACAGAACCCTGAGGAACACCGGGGTTAACTTTGGTGCTCACAGATGACTCATCATTAATTTGCACAAATTGGAATCAATCTAAAAAAAATAGGATTTAACCAGGTTAGGGCAGTTCCTTAAATTAACTGTTCTAGTTTCTGTAATAAAATGTGATGATTGATTGTGTTGAATGCTGCACTGAGATCCAACAGGACAAGGACGGACACATTGACTCAAAACAGTGAATGTGAATGACTGAATGAATGAGATGAAGATACAAGTTGTGGGTTTAGAAGATGGGATTGTTGTGGTCAGCTGATCAAGGGTGATCAGAGAGAAGCTGTCTAAATAAATAACAGGATTCTCATCTGTTTCTGAGATTTCTGCACGTGATGGTGTATTAGTGTCAACTGAGGGCAGGAGATTGTAGATTTTATTTGTAATGGTTAGAATTTTAGCATTAAAAAAGTTAATAAGTAAAACGTTGCAGTTCAGGGACGGAGGAATTCTGGGTGGGATGGGGCTGTGACTCTGCTCTTGCTTTGTAGAGCCGCCTTATATACATTAAGACGTGGCTCTGAGGTCTGTGGGTGCTGTAGTTCATCAGATCATGTGACTCTTAGGCAGTGTCATGTGGTCAGGTGCGTTTTATTGACACACCAAGTGCAGAATCACCAACAAACACGTTACGAGCATTGCTACACAACTTTCTATAAAATGTTTGTACACGTAGAAAAACTTTGTGCTGTTTGACTTATTTTCAATTGAAATAAAGGTTAAAAAATGACTTTCATGATGGGGGTGAAGTGTGGATAAAGGTCATTGTCGTCAATCTGAGACATGAGTCACTGTTGTCAGTCTGAGGCCCAAGTCGCTGTCCTCGGTCTGAAACACAAGTCGCTGTCCTCAGTCAATCTGAGACACGAGTCACTGTTGTCAGTCAAACACAAGTCGCTGTCCGCAGTCAGTCTGAGACACAAGTTGCTGTCGTCAGTCAATCTGAGACATGAGCCACTGTCGTCAGTCAAATATAAGTCACTTTTGTCAATCTCAGACACAAGTCGCTACTGCAAGTCCGGGACGTTTCACAAACACACTGCAGGACAACACCACATGATTGGTTCAATCCTGACAACCCTGTGATGCTTCAGACTGAACATAGCTGAACTCAACAGATTCCACATTTAGAACCAGAACCTCAAAGTTCCTGGATTCTGGAATCCTGTGACTGTCCTGCTAGCTAACAGGCTAACAGCAGGAGTGAAGGGGTCGGGTTGAGTCACAGAAAAACAGTTTGATTCTGTTCATGATGAACATTAATAAACAGGAAGTGTCCTTGGCTCTGTCAGGTCAGAGAGAACAGTAGAGCACAACAGTAGAACTCAGAGTAGTGAAATGACTAGAACCCTGTACACGACACAGACTGACTGAATCCAGAACAACCACAAAACCACTGACTGAGTGGAACTCAAGACTGGACTTTATTGGAGGTGGCGCCCCCTCTCTTCACATGACAGAGAGTCAATTGATTACTCATTGACCAGGGTTGGATTATAACTTGATTATTTACCATTGATTATCATCTTAAACAATACCAACTCATCAGAACTCTGTACAGTGCCTCCTGTGGTCAAATGTGCGGGACAGACTTTTTTAAACATTTCTTTCTATTTCATTTCAACGAAGTATATATATATTTTTTTTCAAACTTTTGTAGATAAGATGTTTTAGAGTCTGGAACTTCCAGACCTTTGAGTCAATAGCTTTTGGTCGGTCCACATGATCTTCTTCAGCACTGAGGAGGAGGTTCAGTTTTAGTTTCTGGAGGTAAATAATTTTTTTTACAGTGTTCTGCTTGGTCAGGGGTCGTCTGGGTCCAGAGTGTGTGACGAACTAACCATAAAATTATTCATTCACATCGATCAATCAGAAAGTTCAAAGTGCTAATTGGTCCCATCCATTAGAAGTGGGCGTGGCCAGCTGAAGACTTCCCTCCTGTCTCTCAGTAGTGCTCCTCAGAGTGGGCGGGGTCACAGAAGAAGCGAGAGCTGCGTTTGGCCGATCGAGCCGTAAAGGGGACGGTCTTCAGAGCTGCAGGTAAGAAAACAAACAGCCAATCAGGCGACAGATGGGGAGTGGCAGGTGTGAAGTGTGTCCACCTGATCAGAATGTTTACCTGTGATAATGTCCTCGATCGCCCCGTCCTTCCCCTCGTAAACATGCCGGCTGTCTTTCCCCTGTCGTCGTCTCAGCTCAGTGATCAGTTCCTTCTGCTGACGCTTCCCCCTGTGAGACGGAGACTGGAGGAGTGGGGGAGGGGAGTTATTCAGACCAATCACAGACTGTCTAGATGATGACACAAGGTCAGAGGTCAAAGTCTCACCTTTGTCTCTTCCTCTTCCTGCTGCTCCTCCTGCTCCAGTTTTTCCAACAACATCTGCTCCTGACGCCGCCGCTGCTCATTCTCGTCCTCAGCCAGCTGAACATAGAAAGTGACACACAGGAAGTCACATTTAGGAAGTCACATGCAGAAATAACCTGAGATGAGTCGTGTTTACTCACCCTGTATGCTTTAATGAAGCGAACAAAGATGGGGAAGAAGACTGATGGTGGCATCGTCTTGGAGCTTTCTCCAAAAAACTTGACTGCATCCTCAAAAGCATCCTAAAGATTTTAACCATCTTAGTTTTTACAGTGTAAACTTTGTAAACACGAGTACATTATTATCAATTGTAGTTTTACTTTGTATGTATGTGTAGACTCACCTGTGCGATGCGTGCATCCTCCTGCAGTTTGCTGAGTCGTGATTCATTCCTGCTGATGAAATCTTTGAGCGTCGCGTTGTGTTGAACACTGAACTCTCTCCAGGTCAGTTCCATCCCTCGCTGCAGCTCTTTCACATCACACAACACATTTTCCAGACTCACTACACACACACACACACACACACACACACAAACGTTGGGTTAGTGAGCACCTCTGTGATTGGCTGATAGACTCAGTTCACACCTATGGTTCACACACAGGTGGCTCACATGGTGTGTAAGCAGCACTTTGATATGCTGACAGACTCACCTGCAGCAGCTTTGTCAATGTAGTGAAGTTCGTTGTAAAACAGAGACACAGACGAATATTTCTCTCTTACAACGTTTGAGATGTAATGAAGCAACGTCTGTTTCCTGTCGGTCGACTTTGTGTCCAGCAGCTACACAAACACACACACACAGACACACACGTAATATAAAACAAGTTCACTCCCCCGTAAATGTGTGTGTTTGTAATGTTCTGTTCATTATTTATCATTATGTCCTGTTGTATGATATATTATATTGTAAACGTGTGTAATGTTGTGTCGTGCTGGCTGTGTATGTATGTATACATATATATATATATATATATATATATATACATACATGTGTGTGTGTGTGTGTATGTATTTGTATATGTGTGTGTGTGTATGTGTGTGTGTGTGTGTTACCAGGTCGAGACTCTGTAGTTTAAATCCATACACTGCTCCTCTTTTACTACTGTTCATGTAGTTTCCCAAAGCCAAGATGATCTGAAACAAAATATATATGTATATATATATTCAAATACACACATACTGTATATAAACATATATAAAATTAACCCTGATACTAGAATATATAAAATTAATGTAGATGTATATTTATAGTCAACAAACCTCCAGAATCTTTTTCAGCTTCTGAGATGATTTGATAGAAATTGAAGCAGCGATGATGGCGTGAAGTTGCTGAGGAAACACAAGACAGTGAGACGGGTCCCATTTACCTGTCTGTCTGCCTGTCTGTCTATCTGTCTGTCTTCATGTCTGCCTGCCTATCAATCTGCCTGTCTGTCCTTCTGACTGTCAGTCCCTCCATGTGCCTATCTGTCTATATGTCTGTCTTCATGTCTGCCTGAATGTGTATCTATCTGCCTGTCTGACTGTCCCTCTATCTGTCTGTCTGTCTGTCTGTCTGTCTATCTGCCTGTCTATCTGTCTGCCTGTCTGTCTTCATGTCTGCCTGCCTGTCTATCTGTCTGTCTGGCTGTCTGTCCCTCTGACTGTCTGTCCCTCCATGTGCCTATCTGTCTGCCCTTCGGTTTTCCTGTCTGTCTTACCGGGGTTAACATCTGGACGTTGTCTGCAAAGTTTCCCATGAAGGTCATGATGCTCATGCGTTGACTGAGTCGTTCGATGCGACTGAACTGCATCATGAATCGATCTTCGTCACTCAGTGCCTCCACTGGTTTCCTATCTCTCTCATACTGACGTAGCGTCTTCACTTCGGCCTCCGTCGGCAGGAAACGCATCAAACACTCAACAAAGTCCACGCGCACCGTCCGCAGGTCGAACCTGCACAAACAGGAAGTAGAAAGTGAATCTACCTGTCATGTTCAACCTGCGGATGTCAGAAAAAAACTTACCAATCCTACCTCATCCTACCAATAATGGACTACGCTGACATTGTCATGATTATCATGATTCATCCAAAACTGATATCCAGCCACTTAATCCAGCCAATGTATTATTTTTGAAACACTCAGGTGGCTCCCTTTAGACAAAAGACTTCAATTTCACTCTTACCAATTTATTTTTAAGTCTATTCAATTTGATTATCCAATTACACACTTAGAAGCTGGGACCACTTTCACTTTACAGTCCCATTTGTTAACAAAGCAGTCAGCAAAAAAGCTTTTATGTTTCAGGCTCCCTCCGATTGGAATCACCTACCTATAAACAACTGTTTGCTCTCATCTTTCCACGTTTTTAAAAATGTTTGGTTTCTTATGTCAAATCCGACTGTCTATGTTTTCAGTAATACAATTCACCATGTCACTATTATTTCCTTTCACATTGATCCATTTTTCTTCTCTTTTTTCTTACTTTATTTTTGTACTTTTTCTCCTTGGTTGTAAACTGTCGTCCCTTGTGTTGTGTTTTGTTGTTGTTTGTGTCTGTTCTATTACTGTTGTGTCTTGGATTGCTTGTTGTTGTTTGTTTCATGATTATTTGTTTTTTGTGGGACCCTCTTGAGAACACAACTCAAGGGGTTTGTTCCAGTTGAATAAATACATTTCACAGAATATGGGCACCTGGCATCCAATCAGGAGCAAGAACACATCTGAGTTATTTCTTTAAACTTGTTAACTGTTTATTATTGACACGTGTTCTGATTGGTGCAGGGTGACCTACGTGTGGATGGCTCGACAGATGACCTCTGGGCCCTGGCCAGCTTTCCTCAGCGTGATGGCAAGATTTTTAGACCGATTTGCTTCGAGCAGTGAAACCTTTGACGCACTTTTCTGAGGAAGTTTCTGTCGTGACAAAGTCAAGTCGACAGCTGGACCCTGAGCCTTTGTCTTAAAGAGCTCCTCAAACTCCTCCACGTCCAGGGCCTGAGAGGCAGACAGGTCATTAGAAACACATGTTATTGATTACATATGATCACATGTTGTGATCATATGTAAAAACTCACCTGAAGGATGGACTCGTCGTCGATGTCGTTGAAAACAGTTCCGTTGATCTGACTCGGCTTCAGAGCGACCCAGTTCAACACCGGCATCCGGAACTTAGTCTGGATTGGCTTCTTGATCTTCACCGCTGTGAGAAACAAACAGGTCAGAGAGAGAGAAACAGATAGACAGACAAACAGGTAGGTGAGGACACACAGAGACAGACAAATGAGGGTACAGAATCACCGACAGTTGAGGACACACAGAGACAGACAGGTGAGGGAACAGAATCACAGACAGGTGAGGACACACAGAGACAGTCACTTTGGATAATATTAAATGACATGACATTAAATGACACATAAAGTAACATTAAATGACATATTAAATGACATGTAATAGACAGACAGACAGACAGACAGACATGAAATGACATATAAAGTAACATATTAAATGACATATTAAATGACATGTAATAGACAGACAGACAGACA